GGTGGGGGGGGGGGTTGCTGATAGGGGAAGACACAGAGAAGTTGTTGATGGTCGCCACTTACACAATGATTATCTATTCAGCGGGATGCATCAGAAAACAACCCATCAGAGATCAAACAGAGAGCACAGAAAGCTGATTAGCATGTGGTTTAGACTGAGACAGAGGGCGAGACGCTCGGGGAGACGGAGCAAATGGGAGTCAGGTCACGGGAAGCAACACGTCAGAGCCAACTCAATAAAGTTCTTCTCATTCCCTCACCGCCTCCAAAGCCTCTGAGTGTGCGTGTGCTTCTGCATGTGAGTGAAGAGCGTGTGTGTGTGTGTGTGTCTGTCTGTCCACCCATATATCTTGAATCATGTGACTTGACACGAGCAGTCATGCACGGTGTGAAAAGTCCCGCTATATATAGTAGGAGAGTGTTGGGTTTCCCAGCAAAGCATTGTAGGAGTTCAGTCATCTTTGTCTCATAAGAAAGAGCATGTCGTTGCTTTGTAATGTTTTTATCTACTGTAGGTGTCCACTGATGATTCTGTTTATTATTTTACGACAAGCTCTTTAGTCGGTGCTCTTTCTGTGTTGACTAAAGGCCTGTGTGATAGTAAACTTTAAAGATCATAACAGCAAGGATTAGAGACTGTATGTGTGACACCATTAAAATGTACCTTATCTCATTTTCCGAATGAAGTCATTGTGAAGAGCTATAATGAGTCAGTTAGCAGCTCTGCTCTTAATGTGGAATCACACCTCAGTAGTGGTACCATTAGATTTGGCACTAAATGGCAATTGTTTTCTAATTTTGTAACCTCAGTGTTGGTGAATTAATAAGGAAAACTTCAGCATGTAACAAAGTAAAAAAAAGTGTTTAACTGTTAAAATTTAGGTCAGTAATTGTGTATTTGGCTAAAATAATTTGCATTATAATAGTGTACAAACTACATAAACCCACTCATATTTCCAAAAAGTAAAGAGTCGTACATAGTACAAAGCCGGTTTTATTTATATTTCTAAAATATGTTGTATCCTGCCAGCCTGATCTCACAGAAAAGTAATTCAATTTTTACGAAAATGCATCATCGTTTTATGTTTGACACAAAAACACCATTTGGCCTTAACTAGTTTTTTACAGAAAGGAAAACCAACACAAGACCAACCCTAACCTTAACCAACATAACCCTACTGATAATGGATTTAGTATTGTATACTAAGATTGAGACAGACGCTGAGATATTCTGACCAAAAACACTAACTTATTCATTTCCCAGAATGAAATAAATAGCATCTCCTTGACAGGTGAATACCCATGTCTTTCAAAATCCATTTGTAATGCAGGATCGAAAATCTGTTGTCTCAGGGACCGTCAGGCTTGACAGAACTCCTCAGGAGACACCAAAGTCATGCAAATGTTTTCAGAGGCTGAAAACTCATGACTAGTAAACTGATTTTACATGTGAAATTGGTTCCCCTTTAAACCCAGGAAACCAAAACTTGAAAGAAAAATACATGTAGCAACATTTTTGTACTAATTAGATGAAAATACATGATAGTAGTCACAAAATAAATGGTAAGGTAGTTTAAGTAGTTTAAACAATTTTGTTAGAGAATCCATTAATATTCATAAATATATGACAGACAAGATAAAGTCAGTAAGAAATTTACAGTTTTAGCCACTAGCGACGTGTCTCTATGGATATCTGTCTGACAGCTCACCTGAAATATACCTCAGCTAATATTCGTTATATTATCTTGCAATTTAGTTCAGACATTTATGTCTCTCTCGAGGTGAAACGCTTTCCTGATTCATTAACTTTTCATCTAGTACCATCATCCAGTCACATTTTCAAACTGTCCTATAGTTTTAAATGAATGGCATTCCCATCAGCCTCTGCTGATTTTGTTAATTTAACATTAGCTTGCTAACACAGTAAGCTAAGATGCTGAACATGGTAAATGTACATTAGCACTGTCATTGTGTTAGCTGCTGACATTAGCATCTAGCTCAAAGCACCACTGTGTCTAAGTACAGCCGCACAGAGAGGCTAGCATGGCTACAAACACACCAGAGAAACACTGAGATGTCAAACTAATATATTAAAGCTTTTCTCAAAAGGCTGCTTCATGAATCAGGATACACTCATTCGGTTTTGAGATTACAAGGCAAATTAATATTGTATGACATGAGTCATTGCTGCATTTCAATATCAGCATTATATAATTCAAAGTTAAAGACACCTCATGTTAACTGACATTACAGCTCTGGTCATGATCTGCTGCTCTGATTAAAAGGTGGGAATCATGCAAACTCAACATGGCAGGCAACTTGCAGCTCATTATTCAACATGGCAAAAATCAATTCCACATCATGAGGTGGCGTGAAAAGAAGCCTTGATAAAATATAACTGCAGGCAGACTTTATCACCACGCTCTGCCTAACTTCCTGGAACCACCGTGCCTTCTTTTAAATCAGCAGCAAGCTAAAGATTAACAGAATTTTGTGTACACATTACCTCCGAAAAACGAACACCAAGTGAAAGCGACCAAGGATCAAAAATATCAGAATGTTTTCAGAGTTCATTTTACTTATGTTTGGGTTTGGACTGACGAGTTCTTTTTAATACCTCAAGTTTTTAATCTGAATGCTAATAGTCTTTGTGCTTCTTTTTCATAGGTAGCACAAGACCAAACCAGAAGTGGCGCTGCTTAGAGAAGCTGGTCTATTCTGAATCCACCTTTAACAGCTTTAAAGGTCAAAGGTCAAGAGTCCCCCTTTGACCCCAAGTGTCACCAAAATATAACCTGGGGGCAGATGAGCCCGAGCTTTTCAAGGATGTAAGAAACCATTGTATTTCTGTTTTGGAATAGAATGTGTATGAAAGTGAACACAAATGGATAACAGAGGCGTAATGAGTAGTGATCTCAGAAAGATGCTGTTTCTGCAAAGCTGTTACACATTTTCTAACACTGGGGATACGGCCAATGGGGGAAGAAAAAAATTCACAATGAGACACAGTGTCTCCAAGCAGACGCAGTGGCCAAAATTTCAAAGGTCTGGCTCGTGAGTGAGGGTCCGCCCAGCTCCAGTGCAGGTTGCCTTGGGCTGGCAGGTTCTTCCACTGCAGTGTGTGAGAGGAGTTTTTCTCCAGAGTGGGCAGGGCCGCTGGTGCTAACATATGTAAGCTCCACAGGGGTCTGTGACGGCACACACCGACTATCTGGACAATGCATCCGTCATTAACCCCAGTCTTCCCTGCGTCTCACTGCATTTCATTCGGCCTCCATCACTCCGTTCGCTCTCGGATCTCCCACTCATCTCCCCTTCTCTCTTTGTTTGGCCCACGTTATCTTCATCCCCTGCTGTCCATCTCCCCGTCCTCCTCCCTGCATATCTCTCTCTTTCTCTTTTCTCTCCCCCTGTGGCCTGCTTTTCATCTCTCCCAGTTTTGCCCGCTCTCTCTTACCCCCTTTACACCCCCCTCTCCTCCCTTCTCTCTCTCTGCCCTTCACCACGTCCCCCCCCTTCACCCTCTCCCTAGATCCGCTTTCCACCCCCCCCTCCTCCTCCTCCTCAGTGTTGGTTCACCTGCTAATTAGGTTAGCAGTTGTAGTGGTCGAGTCTATTGGTGAAGGTTAACATC